AACGTATTTTTGTCAGATAGGTGTAGATAATATATTAACACAAAAATCTCGATATATATTAAAGTAATATTGTCGATGTATCAAAATTTTCATGGCAACGTAAATACTAATATCGAAGAAGAGACGGGATAAAAGATATTCACGCGATTTTTTCAATCATAATTAAAAAAAAAATATTGCCTGTTAAATTCAAATCCTCATAGCTGCTTCTGAACGCACACAAAACGAAATTCTTTCACACAGTCATAAAAATGATACCGAAAGGTGCAAGGTGCAACGTCTAACACATGTATGGATAAGGATCGAACGGAAGTTCAGCGTTGTTCAATAGTAATCGCGATACGCGGCTATCATAGCGCGTCGCTTATTATGCACCACGCCTGCGTTTATTACTTATTGTCGGATGAGAATATCTCGTTGCGCGTTGCGCGCAACGACGTTGCACAGCTCGAGAGACTATCTCGCGCGACAAAACGCTTTGTCTCCGTCCACTTATCTCGATCGTCTTCGCCCGCAGGAGTGTACGCCTCCAGCGAGTAATTGCGTCGGCAATTCAATCGTCACGAAATTATCGCGCCATTACTCGCGCGCGAGCCGTCCCGCGGGCGAGAGTACACTCGTCAACCGTACTCGTGTATATACGTATCGTCAGTCGAAACCGACAACTTTACCAAAATCTCCGACCTTGCTCTTCTCGAGGGGGTAACCGTTAGCTGAAAATGCTGAAATATTATATCCCACAGATTACATAATTTATTCAATTTAATTTCACACGATTTTATCTGATGAAAAATAATTTTTTTCACTACACACGAAAGCTATTTGGTAAAACAAACGATTTTATCTAATATTATACAATTATTTCTTGTAGTTGCATATGTAATTATCGAATTATACATAGGCGTTTCATATAAATTTTATAATTATTTCAGGGACTCTGTTCCGCGATTACATTCAGTGGTTACCCCCTCGGCTCTTCTTCCCTTTTAATATACTGTAAAAAAGTGATTGATTTAAAATTAGTTGATTCGATTGAACGCGGCGGTCACGGTCTGTCAAGCAAATATTTGTTCATTCGAACAAATAACGTTTTAAATTGCAAGATTTTGTTCATTCGAACAAATAACGTGTTTTAAATTGCAAGATTTTGTTGACGTGATTTTCACACACAAATACTAGAAGTTAAATAATCACTATACGAATTAAAACGCATTTAGTTCAAGCTAACAACTTTTTTTCTCGGTATACATACTTTGTAGTTTATCTTAATCCATAATTGTACATAAAATTTTTTATTGCGCAGTCCGTATAAATTTTTTTCTCATAAAAGAAACTAGTTACTTTGAAAACATCATTGAATTTAAAATCTACGCATTGTTAACAAAATTACCCAATTTACTTAACTTCCGCAGAGTATCATGTGAATTTATTTAACGAAAGTCACGCGATTTGTAATTCTAATTGCACTAACGACTTTTAATTAAGTTACCGCGATGCAACATTTCCTTACAATGGTTAGAACAATGAAGTTTTTCTGTGTAAAAAAAGTCACTTTAATGATTGATCAAGTAAACGCAATACGAAGAATAACTGTGGGAATAGTGTAAAATTTCAATCACTTATAATTTATCATTGTCCACTTATTACAAATAATTTGTTATACTACATTATTGTAATCACAATTACTCATAATTGATTAAATAATTACAGAGCAGAGCCTCCTTGCGATCGCTCGAACAATGCAACTTTCTCCGTAAAAGCGATTCTAATGGGTGATTAAGTAGCCAGAATAGGAAAGCGTAATAGTATAAAATTGTACAAAATAAGACTTTAATTAATTATTGCCTATTATGGATTTACAGTGGGATTAGTATATGGTAGATAGATGGTACTTTATATACCATTAAATCAAAACATTCTATAATATATCATATATGTATATACATATATATAATATATATCTATACACACGCGACAAAATATACATTCAACTTTACGGTAATTCCGTAGATATAATTGCAACGCTTTCCACGGAATTTATCTCGCGCGTTCTTCACTCCTCGAGATTATCTACTTGCATGAATATCATCTTGAATATCTATTTCAAGTCTAACATTAACATATCGCGTGCCGTGTTCCCTTATCAGTGTCATTGGATAAGGAAACTCGCCAATGAGTCATCTCTGCAATGCAACAGATGCATCAGTTATTTATGTTCCGCAGTTGAAATGCTCCGTTTTCTCGTTTAAATGGCCTAACTACCTAATTACAGGGTGTGTCGCGAGAAATTTTATGTACACAACTTTAGTCACGATAATGTTAATATATAATCGAACCTTTTGCAGATAAGTATATGCATGTGCAGTTTTATTATATTACATTATATATAAACGTCACAGAGAGACGTGATATGATCTTTCTCTAGAAATGTAAAGTATCAAAATTTACATATATTTCGCAAAACAAGAATCCCCATTTAATAAGTACTTAAAGGTTCACAAATCAATAAAATCCAAATTGTTTTATCCAAATGTCCAGAATTTGTTTTTCTATTTTGTAAACCTTTCAAAATATATAATAAATACATAGATCGCGGAATAAATTATAAACAACATATGCATATCAACAACATCACCATCTCTAAGATTATTTTATATCGTTGCTGATGATGGTCCAGAATAAAGGACCGAAACGTTCGACTCCGAATTTTTGTATCTAAATGTAAGATTTTTTTGTATTAACCGCGCTCCGTTAATAGCGTATATGACTTCTGTATAGCCATTTATACTTGATTAATTTTGATAAATGATAAATTTAATGTATAATACATAAAATCATATATATAATCAATCGTTTATCGAAATGTAAAAAAGAAAGAAACATTATAATAAATTTTGTCTCACATAATGAATCTTTCATCGCACAAAGAAAAAGGCACGGAATACGCCGATCATAAATGCACCTGCTTATTAATTCAAGTCGAGCGTTTCGCCTTCAACGTCAATCGAGATGACGTACCTCGATTTCCTTCGATCCGCGCGAGTTGATTGTCCAGTATACCTATTAATGTCGATCGCGTTCTCAATGAGCATTACGAAGGCACAAGTTGTAATGACATGTATACGTGGTGTAATTGATTATATACTTACGCTTGCCTGACGAATCCAGGGGGGAGGAAGTCCTTCCCGAATCACCACCACCGATCACCACAAGCGCGGCAAGTCCCGATCGCGCGCGCACCGGTCAACTCGTTTCACGGCAGCGCGGCGGATCCTTCACTCATCGGATGGAAAATCGAATGTCTGTCGAAGCCGATGGATTTCCCGACGACATACGCGATTATAGGCGCACTCCCGCGCCGGGGAATGCGTCGTCAGGGGAAGCGCGTTGAAAGAGAGAGAGAGAGAGAGAGACAGAGAAAGGGAGGAAGATATCAAAGTTCTGGCGCAGTGATTACGGAGCCATGCAGACGGAGAGGAGTCTTCGTCGTTTCTTATCGCTCTTCCCGTTGGAGCGGAGTCGTTCCGTCGCTGCTCGATTCAAAGCGCGGTGCCGTCTTACACGGTGTACGGTCTTATGGGGATGCGCGCGAACCCCATACTCGCACTCGTCGCGTCCCAATCAGAGACTGAGGCGCCTAGAGACAGGCCGCCCGTATAAATGCGCCGCAGTGCGAGCGGTCGAAGTACCGCGGGGTCCGCGGGTGGAAAGGGGAACCTCGAGTCGATCCGCAGCGCACCGCGAGGGGTCACTACAGATTAGAGAATGCACGCTGCCGCGATATTGCAGATATATACGTAAACATAAACATTGCACCTGCCTCGCTCGCGTGGTATCAACAAAATGTCATCTCTTCAATTTTCCTAATAAATTTCTAGATTATTTTTATTTTTATATATTTCTCGCAAAATCTCCGTATTCATTTTTCGCGTAAAAATATAATATATCTCTAATAATAAATATCTTATTTTCCTTTTTTGGTAGAGAGTATTCTTTCTTCTTGTAATTTTCTAGTTTTTGCATCTTTTACAGTCAAGATGCACTTGTTATATATAATATAAAATCGGATCACTGATTACCGACCAAAATTTTCATCTTCCTGTAACCGTCGATAAATACGTACGTTTTGTAGAATACCGTCACGCAACTTGATCGACTTCGGGTAACACAATCTTTTATATATTTTATATAATTATTATTTATAAACGTTTCGTGCTTTGATCGAGGAAAGCTTTGTGCGAGATAATGATTAACTAGCTGATCAAAATTGATTACATATACGACAAAATAATTAAAGTACAACACTGTTGATATTTAACGTAAATTCGCGCAGCGAGTATAAAGTGTAATTGACGAGTTAATTACAATAATAATGACAAACAATGGCTAAAAAGTTAAATAAAAATCCGAATTTTAAGTACGAATTATTATTTAGTGTAATACCAAAAAGCTATTATATTAGGGCTCTTAAAATTCCAACAAGAACCTTTTAAATAATGATAATCGAACTATAAGAGCAAACGATATAGTGCGACAATTAGTGAGCAATAAATATCATATATTATTATAAAATAATTTATATTGAATTGAATACAAACTGATATATGAGATATTAAATTTTCTAATGACGAAAAATATTTTACATACAGCTTCTTAATTTAATATTATATATTAGATAAATTATGTTTTTATATAATATTCTCTTCACATATAAAAAATTTATGTGTAGATAAAATTGTTTTTCTTGCACTTCTTTTGAACTCTACAATAGCATACGAATTTCCTTGATCAGCAGGTGCAATTGCATGGGAAGGGAGAGGTTTATGGTGAATTACTATGGAAACCCATGAGTAAAACTTTAGTCAGATTTCACAAACTTCAATGAACTCTCTACGCGCAAAGACAACGCGTCTATTAAATAAGCTCTTAGGTTAAATTAGTTTATTAAAACAGTTTAATTATATAATAAGCTTTTTAAATATCGCAGCTGTGTGTATACGATGAATAGAGTTATTCGCGAGACAGATAAGAAAAAGAAGCAAATTACGCCGTGTGGAAAAGTGCGCTCTGCTGAAAGCGCAAAGTACAGGAAATCCCTGTTGCAGCTAAAGGAGCAAGAATACTTGATCGAAAAGAATCTCACTAACTTGATGGAGAACATGAAACTGGAACCAGAAGTTCTACGACCCGTTTTGCATAATATGAATGACATCTCGAGAAACAGGTAGGTACGGCGAAAAACGAATCAGTCGATTTTAGATTGCGTTATGCATATCAGGTCCGCATCATTCCGCAGTGGTTTAACTTCGACGTGTTTTTAAAGGGAAATCTTTCTGGATAACATGAGAAAATCTTTGGATGAAATTACTCAGGAATTGCAATCAGCACGATCGATCACGAATTGTCCCGAGCAGATCCAGAAGCTAGGTGAATCATAGGCATAACTCAATTTCTTTTCCACTGATAATGCTATTTTTCGTCTCTTCCTGGTGTTATTCCTAAATTATTTTTATATTTCGTATAACAGTTCTAATCAAATACACGCTACAGTTTCTGTGTTTAAAATTAAATTAAAAGGAAAGAGGGTTAAAAGTTTAATCCAATAATCTTATTATTAAGAGATATATAAATTCGCGACATTTAAAAAGAATAAACGTTTATTTATATAGATACGAATGCATACAAACAACGTCTCTTGAAATTGTCGCAAAAAATTCGGGAGTTTCAGGAGTCCTGCCAACAACAAATTACAACTTTGTCGCAGGAGCGAACTGTTCTTGAATCTGAGTTACATGAATTTGAATCAAATTTACATAAGTATGAGAATACAACCGGCAGTATTAGTAAACCGACATCCGCCGTGTCTTCTAACAAGGAAAATAAAAGGTGTTACGATTATAAGGAGATCGAGGACCTCCACGATTTAATTGCTAAAACAGGTACTGAACACATTTGCATTCGTCTACGTCATAGCAATTAAAATGCGCAGTAAAATATAATTTATAACAGTTGCACGTGTTACTTTATAACACGTAATATACCTGTGTTAAATGTCGCCTAACGTCTATATTAGTCCATACGAGTAGTGATATAATTAATATATATAAATTCATATTCTGTTTTCAATTTACATTCTTAAACTTCACTTTATGCACATTTTATATTTACATATCTATTATAATACTATTAATAAATACGTACGTTCTATCAACTGTTGTATATAATAGATATTTAAAAAAGATATTTAAAAAATCAGTACGTAAAACATATTAAAAATCACGTTACAGGCCATACTGATAATTGGAGTAATGAAGACCACCTGTTGTTCTTGAAAATGCGGAAGAAGTGCAGTAGCATCCCTGCTTTAGTGACTGCCATTCGAGTCAAATGTCCAGATCTAACAGCGGAAACTATAGTAAATCATGAGGCTTGGTATAAAATTTATCTGAACTTGCGCGAAAAGCAACGATCGAGCATCAGAGAGTGGCGCAAACGAAAAGAAATGGAGAAGATAAAAATGAAAAGTTGTATGGATGAAACCGGGGCCGAAACCTTGGAAGAAATTTCGAGGGAGAATAGGAACTCCGATATCACAAAAGATTTGTCGACTTGCGTGACAGATAAAGGGAGAGCAACAAAACCTGACAATTCCGTTGATATCAATAATCAGAAAAAGGAATTAATAAAACAGTGGAAAGCAGAGAGAGAGAATAAACGTTTGATGGAACAGGAGCAGTCGAGAATTCTGATTGAGTCGAAGCTTGCCACGCAAGAAAAACGTAAAAGGGAAAGATTGGAGAGACTTCGAAAAGTCCTGGCGGAGCATCGTGAGAAAAAATCGATGGAAGTTTCCTCCAAAGACTCGAAAGACGATTCGAGACCACACTATAATCCATTGTTGATTAAAGCCTTTAGGTAACGTTAACTTTTTTTAAAGTTGAACAAAGAACTTGAAACATTAATACTGAAATAATAAAATAATAATAAAAATACAAGATTTTTTACTAAATTTTATCTAGAATTTATCTTACACTTACTTATCATAATAAAAAAATATTAATAAGTGATAAGCTCGAAAAATTTATTATTACGTAGCTTGTGCTACATCTTAGGAATAACTGCATATAAAGTTATAGATTTCAATATAATTAATAGGAAGCAAGATACAGAATTTACAAGAAAGAAGAAAAACTTGATAGCGATACGAAAAACAACTCAAAATCGAACAATAAAAATCATAAGACCACAAATAGTAGAAAAGCAAGATCACTCGACTCTCATGAATTCGACTGAAGTATGGAGAGAAAAATGTAGAATGCCCGATCCTAATACGAAAGAATCGAAAAAGCTGCAATATATTAAAGACGTTCCACGTTTGTACGTTTTTTAAAGAGAAAAAAGCGCTTATTTTTACACATTTAAAATATATTTAATATCTCGTCTTTTCAGATATGTTCAATGGAGAAACGAGGAATCGATAGAAATCAAGAATGCTCTGACATTTTTATAAAGTCGAAGATTCCCTTCAATCAAAGTTCATTAATCAGCTTGACGAAGAAGGCAATAAAAATAAAATGTACAAAACGTTGACATATATTTATGTTTATTTTTCTTTACGAACGTACCTTTTTGTTTCTTTCAGACGATGAACATAATAAGTTATAAGTAAACGAGTGTTGAATTTATCCAGGACCGCCGTACGCGCGATATTCGATTTTATTATAATTTGCAATCTCTGTTTGTTCTGTTGCTTTAATCTTATTTCTAGGAACATAAAAGAGAAAGAAGGGGGAGAGGATTATTATCATCGACGTAGTCTCGAATAACTTCAACCCTCGACGGCTCTCTTTTTACTCAAATATATATAATATACTTTCTATCAATCTTTTTCTGTTCGTTAATTCGAGATATTCTTTCGTTTAGATTACCAGATACAAAAACACATAAGTGATACAATATATATAATGCTATAATACAAAAGAATGTCTCACATCGTGCCGAATATGATTGACCGACAGTTCGACGGTTCGCCCGCGTCACCTACTTTAAAATTTTTTTTCTTTAATAATTATCACTATTATTAATAACTATATTTGTTTATGCGGGATAATCCTACACAGCACGATATGATGGCACCTCTCACGTTTTGTGAGAATACGCGCAGATATACTCTAAAACGTACTCTATTTTTTTTTGTTACCTCGCTTTTAAACAATATTTGTAATTATATATTTATACTCTTGTTTTTATTTATATATATATATATATATATATATGTATAGAAATATAATTTAGAATTTATAATACATACTTAGGAGTTTGTTTTATTACAATGAACGTGACAAATCATGTTTAACATACACTCTATTCCACTCACGCTCTCTCGATTGACATACATGTCACTGCAACACAGCTGCCGCAAATTATTATTTTTTATCACTAACCTGTCCAAAACCCCGAATGAAAAATACATGTGTGAATATTTGTACAGCGAAGCTTCCTTCTCGTTTTCCGTGATGCGTTAACATTTGTATTTCCTTATAATAGTAAAGTCCACGTGTTCTGCGCTATCTCTCGTCTTGTGGCAGACTATAATATTTGCGTCTCTAATTTTTGTTCCACTAATGATAATTTCGCCACTCTCCCAAGTATTAGTATCGAATTATTTCACAATGACGCATTTCTTCGGTTAAAAACTTTTATCATGAAAATTGACCATCGTTATATGTGCGTATCTCTTTTTTTAACGAAAAAGTTTCGAAGAAATGTTTTTCGAGAAAAAAACATCAAAAAAATAAATCAATAAGTTGCGAATCATATGATAAAAATAAACTTTTTCGATAAGCAAACGAAATGAAATATTTAAATTGATTTAATCGTATTTGCGATTGCAAGAAAAAATTATCAGCGAAAAAAAGAAAGCTTTTCTGAAAGAGGGATTTGGAGAACGCATAAGTTATTGATAAATTTTATTAGAATCTTTACATTCGTGAATTATTTACAGATATAATTGCATATGTATATATATTTATATATATACTATGTATATGTATAATCGTAACTAACATTACGGTTTTCGAAAAGAAAGACTTCCTCGAATTTTTCGTGACAATACTGAAGAGGCTGACTTCGGAGAGAACTGCTACCAAAGCCGCACGAGAGCATACAGCTTCAATTTTAAAAATTTTTGAATTTTCTTGTGTTTTTCGTGAAAAGAGAACGCTTTCATCAATAAGAAACGTTACGGTAGAAAAACGGTATAAAAGAATCATCCTAGTAGTCTTCAAGCGACGACATGTGTAAAATTAAAAAATGGTTTCGACATATTTAGTTGCCAAGTGAACCAATATATTTTTCATTTCTTTTTTTTCTTTCGCGTGTAATATAGTTTAGCAATACTATGAAATTGCTAATCCGCGAGAAATCTTGCAGGTTTTATCCGTATTTTTGGACAGACGTTATTATCAATTTAAAAAATATTTAATCATCAATTAATCTGAATTTCTCTCAAATCTCGCTCATATTTCCCGAACATAAAATAATTAGACGAATATCTGATTAATAAGTTATTCTTTCCGACGTATTTCTAGCATTGCACGCTTCGAGGACGGTACAAATTCGGAAACAAGACCTCACAGTTCGCATCGTGTGACTTGCTGATAAAAATAATTTGTAATACGCGTGTAATATTGATATACGAACTAATAAAATTTGCAATGCTTTAGATAATCGCATTACTCGCAATACAAAATTGTAATAATTTAGTGTCACGAAAAGTATTGCTATTTTTGCACATTATAAAAAATTACAATATATTTTCCGTAAAGATATTCATATTCACAATAATTGCAAACATCTTCACAATTGTTGTGAGTTTAAAGATATTTTTGCACAATTCAATGCCCGATGAACCGATATATCCGGTTAAATCTGTTAGAAAATTAAACACTTAAATTATTTTGTGCACGTATTACCGATTTACGTTGTAGTTATAAAAGACAAAATTAGTCCCTCCGCAATCAAGCCTCTCGCGCCAATGTCCAATAACTGATTCATTGACTGATAAATAATAATAATAATAATGAGATATATCGAAGCAAAGCGAATTAATATAAACTATTCGATACATTACGAAACTAATAAATTAATAATAGTAGTTTGGAGAGACCTCAAAATCGAATATAAATTTTCGGATTTTATTGACTATCGAAAGATTTTATCGCGATTTCGCAATCTCTTGCGACAAGAAAGCGAATAAGAAAAATGCGAACAGTTGTAAGAAGCGACAGCAAAGTCACGTGCACAAAATCAAATTCTCAGTTTTCTTAAATTGAAAAAACGATTTTACGACGAATTTTTTGTGCGGGATTCGTTGCGTAAAACAACGCGCAACGGTTACTACATATTACGGTTCGCGTTTTGCTTTCTCCCGAATCCGATAATCGTCATTCGTAAAAATCTGGTGTTATGCAGTCTTCTATACAGTATTTAGCATCTCGAATTTCTATCAAAAAACGAGACAGATCATTCTTTTGTTTTCTAAGAGAATTCAATTATGTCTAATAACCGAATTTCACTAATATCTAAACATCAGAAACGCACGTAGCCCGAGTATGTTAGCACTGTAATCTGATAGATTACAGATAGGTAGATCTTTTGTTACAGACAATATAGTTATCAAAACTTCAAAAGAAGCAAATTAATCTGTAAAAATCAAATAATTTTATTCGACTTTTATTTGCGTAAGAAACGTACATATTTCGAAAATCAGAAATATGAGAAGAGCCAAGTGATCGATAAAGCTTTTTTTCTCTGGGGCGAAATTCCTACGTGCGTTTCTAAGGTCAACGTGCATTCTTAATACTAAACGAATAAATTCATACGTGTTTTGCTGCCAGATTTATTGACGTGATATAAACGATGTACATCTGGGCCTCGATGGAACGCGAGTTTAATCGTAAATCAAGAATGTACGAAAATGTGCCTAGGTCTTACGTTCGTTAATAAAGTTATTAAATCCATAAATAGCACGAAAATTTGCGCATAGTTTCTCATGATCGAATATAAATGCATCGCGCTAATAACATTTTCTCAAAAACGCAAAAGAACAATATTTTCTCCCTGGTATAAGCTTGCGCAAATCACACATCTGACAGAATTGTTAATAAATTTAACAATTATACGTAAAATCAAAAGCTATAAATTAGTTTTCTATTTTTAATGAGACAAGTTGAGAAACATAGTGATAAAACTAAATGGATACTCCACTCGATACAAGAGTAAGTTTAATTTTCTTCTATTATATACAAAAATTTAATTTTCTTCTATAACCGTTTCCGTCTTAGGAAATAAAGATTACAAAAATCAAGGTAAAATTATATATAATGAAAATTATTCTCAGTATAACATTTCGAAAGAAAGTGAATTTTAAAAAATAATACAATGGAGAGAGAACATCAATATTCTCTAAATGTACAGTAATATCCATTCAATTTTTTCCCTATGTATAGCGGAAAATATGAAGGCTCCATGTAATCATTAATTATGAGATGTAAGCTAACGAATCATCATTAGCAAATTCCTCGAAGCGTTCGTTACAAAAAAAAAGAACGAAAACAGATTCGGAACTAGAACGGAAGCGTTCGTTTGATCGTCGTCATCGACGTCTTCGTTTCCATGCCAAAGTGATGCACATATTAGTTAGGAAATCACATTTTATTCTTGATATTAATATCCGCGATATTTTAAAACTCAAATGGATAGATACTGGATACATTTAAATATTCGAATTTGATTTTGTCAGGCAATGAGAATTATCTATTTTACATTCGCCTTTGTAAAAGGCTGCGATGTCTCGCCTTTCCTTATCTTTCGAGCTCCATTCTTTTTTTTATCACGCTCTGTATATTCGAGAGTTATAAAGATGAAAAAGATTAATTGCCACAATAGAAAGATGTAATATAATTCTTTACACCTCTCAAAATCACAGTTGCTCTTGACTCTACTATTAATGATATTTGAATTATTGAGCACAACAAAGAAAAAGACTTGTTTCTTTTACTTGTGAATTGTTTGATAAATCAAGATTTTCCGTCGCTAAATCATCAATAAATATTCTGTTATACAGTAGCGATGGAAACGAAGACGAAAGCAAAGTTTGCGATTCCAAAATTGTGTCCATTTACAAAAATTCTGTCAAAAATAACGGCTATGAAATTTTTATCGCTTTTTAGATTGGTATTACAGGATGCCTTCCAACAAGCGACACAGATGATACGATGTGACAGATTATACAGTGTATCAGTACATCCTTGTTGTTCGCCAATGTTAAACAAGGATGAAATGATCACTGTGTTGTACTGTCGCTTGTTGGAAGGCACACCACACTGCCTACTTAATGATTCCTCAAATATTCCTCGACTATATCTCTTACACACATACACACAGATATCCATATTTAAAAAATTTTCTGAAATTTTCTTTGGCTTTTGAATTCGCAAATACGGCTCG